GATTGACTTCTTTCTCAATGTAATTAACGCACATTACCAAGCAACCAATCGAATAACAAGCCGGAAAGTAAAGCTCTCTGTCATGCTGCGGCGAAACAAAGAGGCAAGAGACCTTTTAATAGTAAAGTATTTCAAAGACCAAATGATAAAGTCTTCTTCATGAATCTTTCTAAATGGTTTGTCTGGGCAGAGATCGCAACAGTGAACGTTCACACACCAAGGAACTATCGTGTGTTTTGACGTTAAGTATTCAATCCTCGAATCTACATGAAAATCACAACGTCATTTCGCGTGGGCTAGAGGTATTCTAGCCATTTCTTTCACCAGCAGGTAGCTACCACTCAAAGAAATACCAGGATGCAATTGATATTGTTTTCCAGTTGTTTCAACAAGTGTAACTACGTAAAAATGATCAAAGGAAATTATCGTTGAATTCTTCCTCTTGTTACCTACCGACACTTAGAAATGCCTGCATTCAGATATTACGACGTATAATGAAAATCACACGCACTTACGTGTGATGAACACTTGAATCTTTAACAACGGAGAGGAATAAGCAAAGGAAACAATGAAGATAAAACTCACAGCTTGTGGATGCAAACATTATTCAGTCTTCCAAAGTCAAAAGATTTAATAATTTACTCTTTAAAGGCAAATCACGATCACTACGACAAACTATCCGTTGATTGCCTCCTGAGTCGAAACCCAAACAGCTACAGGTCACAAATTTCAGTCCATTGCTCTCACAGCTAACCCTTCAGCCCGTTTTTTTCCAAAACAATGTAATTTACAATCATACCGCTAAAAACTTCTGAAAGAATTTTGTTCTGAAAAAGTACTTAAGTACTGGTACGAAAGATAACACAAATGACGTTGGGTGCAAATAGATCTAACCTACGTTACCTCCACTATTATATTACTTTTTTCGGCAGTTTTTTCGTGGATGTGCTTTCTTGCTACAATTAGCTGAGACAGTTGTATGTAACATCACACATTTTTCGCACAACGTAAGGCCTCGAAAGAAAAACCAACTCCTCAACCATGATATGCGGAGTTCAAATGTTCACTGACATACAGTATCTAAGTTGTTTGCCATTAGTCTTATAATACAATTGGTAATGCAACCCTTGGTTTCCAAAGGTTTACCGATCATCGAAAGAGAGCTAAGACATTGAAAAAAAACAACATCAACAACAACAATAAGAGCAAAAGCAAAAAATGGTTGATGTTTCGTTTTTTTGTGTTTAAAACTATGTCTTGGGATAATTCGCGACTGAAAAATCTAAAAAATTGTAAAGGCATCGGAAAACATCCGTGTCAGAAAGTACTTATCTTAAAGTTTTTACACTTTTAGCTCCAAGTGAGCCACTGAAACGTTCAAACTATCCAGAAACGTCGTTAGGTGGAAGGCTTTACGCAGTGATATTCCACGATTATGCTGCAAGCGTTTTATTTGCATTGTGTGAAACGTAAAATATCGATGTTTATTTCTGACTTACCAACTCCAAAGAAGAATAAGCCAATTCCGATACCAGCCGCAAACAACATCGTAAAGTAGGATGCGTCACTGAACTCGGGCTCTTCGTCATCTCTTCCCAGCTTCATGTTGGCGAACTTAGAGAAGTACAGCATTATGATGATCACAGCCCAAATGTCCTGAGTTCCGATGTACATCCAAGTGAATTTCTCCGTGATCCAGATCTTCCATCTTCCCATCTCTAAGCTCGCCCCTTCTGACTCGACAATGCACCAAATAACGAAGCCCCATATTATAAAGGACGACAAAATACTCACTACTGGGTTGAACCTCAAGAAGATTCCAAGGTTTGTGTTGCCGATTTTGGTCCAAGCCCAATTAACCCTGATCCAGCGACATTTTTTCAAATGTTCCTCAGATACCGCGGGATCCATGTTTGCGAAGAGTTTACCAGCAAACTGCGTGCCTCTTTCGCTGTCAGGAATGTTCTATAAGGCTTGTGTATCTAAAATTATATTAGCCACTAACTTCGTCACAAAGAACTCGTTGAAGCGTAAAAACACAACATTTACATGAGAATAATATCCCGGTAATTGCCTCCGTAAGAAGTAATTTCCCACAAGAGCAAGTTGTTGATTGTGCACTTTTTTGTCGATCCAGAAACAATGATTCATCTAGTAAAACCACTTCGAGGTAACAGGAGTCAGTCTATTTTTTTCCCTCTTCACCGTGACACTGCAGTTACAGATCACTCCTTTGTTAACTTATAAGATAGTTTTCGTGAATGCTGCTTCTCGTTCGCACACGTTTTATTTTTTCAAAGTATTTGCACTTGTGAGGATTGCACTGGAAACATTTGTTTTGATGACGGCAGGCTTTACACTCGTGAAAAAGTTAGAAATACGGTTAGATGTTAAGCCCATCATCAAAACCCCGCGGAAGAAAATTAACTACGTTGACATACCAAACTGTTTATCTGATCAATCGAGCCTGATATTTGCTCAATCGAAAACTACCACACGTAAAAACGGGATTAAAGGGAAAAAAGACGTTTTAGCTCCATTTCCATCACAAAGTATCCCTTACTTGAACAAGTTTTAGAATATACCTAATTTTTTATTTCATGCTAATCATTGTAGAGTTAACTTTAAACAAATGCCATAGTCTGCGGCTTATAGGATTTGTTTTTGGATGCTTCATGTGCATTGAAGGAAAACGCTTTATGGTCCTTATGATATATGAATATTTGAACAACCTGTTTTGGTTACCTAAAACAAATGTCCACTTCATAAACGAAAAATGTTTCACAGGAAGCTAATTAAATGTGCTAACTCAAGTATTTTTTTAGCAATTGCGGAATTACTTAGATGATCAGGAGCTTACTTCCCCTGTAACGATCAAACCAAAAACATTCAGAGTGCCACAAATAATAATAAAAAACAGATCACGTATGAATTGTATATGAATTGCTTTTGTATTACTAATAACCCAACTAGCATCATAGCAAATTTCACATAGGAAAAAAGAGGTATTTATAGTTCCATCATAGTCTTGAGCTAATCTGGCACGTGGGGAGTAAGGAATTTAACTTGAATGATGCCAAAACTTAAGAAGCCACGACTAAACAAAAATCAGACTAAAACAATTGCATCGAGAAAAACAAATGAGTTTAAGAACCTACTGGAACCCTTTTGAAATACTCAGTAAAGCAGACAATCATTACCCTTTACACTCAGCAGCGTTCAAGTATTAGTCTGCCTTGGACAGTTTTTCTCCTGTTTATTGACGGATACGTATACTATAGTAGCTAGTATGGCGAGTTCGCAACAAGTTTTTAGCCGCGTATCACAATTTTTTTTTAAAAGCGAATAACACATGCAGGAGCTCATTCACCGAGTAGTGGGCTCCTGACACATAAAAACATTACGAAAATACAGTTAATCCTTACTCCTGGGTTTTCCGACACGCAAACAGATTAGCTGCATGTCCTGTAACGACAGTCAGTCTTTGTGCGGTGTTCTGTGGTGAAAGCGTCAGTTTGCACCGATGGTAAACACTTTATACACTCCGTAAAATAAATCATTACACACAAATGCACTGACAAAAAATGGATTTACGACAACAAAAGCAAAAGAAGTGACAGAGAAAAAATATTAAAACATAGTGAGGCATAAAACATTTTCTTCATACACGGATGACATGAAAACGCAATTGGCTTTGGTTTTGTATGAGATGAGTTCCGGGAAGTTTAGAGCAAGTTTTGTGGACTAATCAGCGAGTGAAGAAGAGCTAAACCAATGTCGGTGAATTGATTTCAACTTGCTAAAAGTCAACATAATCATTACCGCCATGCGACGACAGGATCAATAACCTTCAAAATCACTGAACTCCAGAAGACGGAGGTTGATCGATATACACCGTAAAAGGACATTCTATATAAAATCATATTTTTTGTGATGAAATCGACTTCAGTGTCTGCAAAAATCAAATCATACTAATGGTGATAAATGAATGGAAGATAGGCAGATGAAAACGCAATGCATTTTGGATGAGTTTCATTTTTGAAAGGTCGCGAGGCGATTACAAGAATGCCGGGCTTCAAAGTGCGCGGTTTATTTTACATCTTCTAAATATTTGAGGTGGCAATAAACCAACGTCTACCCATGATTTGCGAAGAATGCCTCCCATATCCTTCATGAATATTGATAGAAAGACTAGAATTATGTATCACGTACGCGAAGAATTCAGATTATTTCCGATAACTATCTACGTAACTACGGTCACGAGGCAGAGATCAGCGTATAAATCGTATAAAAATTGCTGAAATACTTAGCCAGCTCTTCAAAAATAGGAATACTAAGTGAAGTTCAGAGAGCATCAAAGATTTTAAAAATAACATTGAAATAAATAATTAACGCGTGGTTACCAAACAAAATAATTACACAAACACAAGTGACCTGCACAAGAGAGACTAAATTTCGTGATGTTCATATAATTGGTTATCATTTCCATTACTCTCGCCTTTTTTTTTTTTTTTATAATTTTTTTTGTAATTCTTACCCTCTATTCTAACAACAAATTAACTGGCGCAGCCATCCCCTTTGAAGGAACTTCATATTAATTGCTCCAAGCACACTTGTGACGTCAGGTGAAACTGTAATTGCTTCAGTTTGCCATTAAATAATTCACGCCTATTTGTAAACTGAACTACTGAACTGTTCCTGAAAGGGTCTTATTTCAAGTCTTTTATTGCAAGAGTAAAGATTCTATCCATTCGTCTTAGCAGGTACAATCGATACACGGGTTTCATGTTTCTGTGTAGGTTTTTCATCTTTGCCGTGTCTCTGCCGTAACGTGGATACAACTGCAGCTCATAAATTTCACCTCGCACGGAACAGTGTAAGGACGAATGGCCGCATTTGCGAAAGACGAAATCTAATAGAACTGCATAATACAGAGAGCGGACGAAAAAGTAACAAAAAGACTATTTTGTAATCGGCTAAAAATTATTAAAATCATCAAAATAAATGAAAAGCGTTTAATTTATGATTTAATGAATCCACCGAAATGCAAATCGAGGGGAAAAAATGAAAGTTTATTTTTCATATGCCATCTGCTCGGATTATCTGTGTATGTTTTTGGTCACAATTTGCATTTTTCATCGTTTTGTCAACGAACGTCCCGAAACACGATGTGAGAAAAAACTGCAGCTTTGTGTGGACACAAGTTTCTTTATTGTTCGCATAAAAATACTGAGCCGCGGAAATCCGACTACAATAGTGTAAGAAATAGACTTATTCGAAAGGAAACGAAGTCCTCTAGAAAAGTAAATATACGTTAATTTTACGTGCGTTAATACACGCTATAAATTTTTTTTACGGGAAGCAACTCAACTGCGAAAAGCGCAGAGATGCTTCAACTTTTCAACTCATTTCGATAATCTTCCGCCTTTAGGGCCACTAGGAAGTATATGGGTTTAAAATATCCTCACAATAAACAAACTAAAGAGATAGTTTGTAAATTGAGGCTGATTTGAGCAAAAAGTTGAATGCCCGCTCTACCTGTTACTTCTTGCAAGGCAAAGTTCTCCAAAACGCAGTGCGAAATTTCTCCTTTGTGAAAGCATACAATAAGGGATTCAAGACACAGTTGAAGTAGCCAAAAGCTAAAAACACGAACTCTAAACGAAGCAAGTGATTAGAGGGCCTCATAAAATACATGGAGAATGTTAATGTGGTGTAGGGCAACCATAATCCACACACAGAACAGACGACTGCTCCAGTCATTTTGGCGATTTTCCATTCTTTTTGACGCACCATTGCCTCATTCCGCCTTTGTGAAAACGACGCAGGCACAATAAACGACGTTCGAATCATCATGGCTTGTATGTGCACTCTGGAGAGGGCAGCCTTCGATATTCGCAAGTAGGCGGGAAGCAGAATTGTACATGACAATAAAAAGGATGGCAGATAATACAGGCGAAAAAAACAGGGTTCTTTTGATTCGCTAAACATCAAAATACACGCAGAGGACCATGATGTTTTGGCCTTCCATCGCCATTCAAGGAAAGGTGCTATAAGACTAACAGTACTCAAACACCACACCAAAATAACAGCGCGCCTGGCTTTGAGGTGGGTAAGTCTCAACACAAACGGGTTCGTTACCGACTTGTAACGGTCATAACAAATAAGCAATAGAGTTATGAACGAAGCATTTCTCAGAGCAGATGTTACAGCCTCATGCCAACAACAAAACAGTGTGGAATGTGCAAATCCTGAAACGCGAGCGATGGTGAACGGAACACAAACACAGCAGATTATAAAGTCAATAAGAGCAAGATTTGCGATGAACTTCGTTGCTACACTCCGAACACTTCTCTTGTTCCAGTAGATCAGCAAAACAGTGCAGCTAGCACAAATACCAAGAACAATTTCCAACCCCAGCACAATTATAATAGAGATCTTAAATCCTGGGGAAAGGCCCAGCTTTTTATACTCTGAGGTAATGTTACTGGACATAAGGCGGCGTCTGCGCGACAAACCCGTGGCAAACCGTTAAAGCACCATTTACGGGTTGTGATGCCCGCGTTCTCTCCCCTTTCTATCACCTCGCTTGGCCTGTTCCTCCTACGTGACTGTTATCTACCAAACTCTGCACGAATGATTTGTCTTTGAGAGCGATATTTTCACCTGCGAAAACAAATTGCGAAATGAGCTTTGTTTATGATACGTCGATTTGTCAATGATCGCACATACGATTGGCTGAATTATCAAACACGTCTGACATATAACTACAGCAGTGCCATTATCTTCTCTTCAGGCTCTCCCGAATTCTCGTTGGAAAAATAGTTAGTCTGCTTGCTCTGGGACTTAACAATGACTAAGTAGACGACACATACCTCAGACTTGTAAAACATCCTCATCTGTTTTTTCTTAAATTGGTAGAGGAAATCTCCAAGCCCACACACTGCATGTTTCCGACGCAGAACTAGAGTGCGCTAATATCTAAACACAATTTGCATTTACGGCGTTGCAAATGATTTTCTGCCTTCTTTTGTCGCAAACACCTGCTTAGATCTTAAAATGGATAATCGCCGAGAACCCTTTCCAAAATGCACTTCTTGATTCCTCACTCTCGAGGAATAAAGTATCAAAAGGGGTATTTATTGCGCAGCGAAGTGATATTATATTCCATCAAAGGACCTTCAATACACTAGATTCTTAGAAATATCATCTACAATGACAAGAAGGGAGGCAAAATCAACTGTGCGCGTTATAATTACTTAGAATTCTTGTCACAGTATATTGACAAAATGGATATATAATTGGCGAAGAGAGAGTGTGCGGGAAGCAATTCCTAATCAAGTACAAATCGATGCCGATCCCCAGTTTAATTAATAATGAACTTATCACGAATTACAACATTCTACCAAAATAAATATCCGTCGGAAAATGCGATCCGCAAGGTCGATAAAGTATAAATTGATCGTGGAGATTCTGGGGTAGATGAATACGCTAATCGTCTAACGGTAACAATAGAGCGATCTTCTTAGAGCCTCCAACAATGCAAAGGAAAGTAATACCCATTACGTACATTTGCGACCACGTGCAGAGCCAAAGGTCTTTTGCATGTCTTTTGTTAAGTAAGATACACATTTGGTACGTGTACAGTTCAAGATTATATTTTATGAGCGACCTTGACCGACTGTTATTGTTTTTGTTTGCTTGATTATAAATTATGAACCGGAAAAAAGAGTCGCAAAGAAACTACAAGAGCATCGTTTAAAAAATTGCGCTAACTTGTGAACGTCACGCAAATTATTTGAATGCAGGTTGAAACTCCTTAATGTATTTCTTATTTTTTTCACAAAAATAAACAAAAGAAAGGACAAATCTTCTCTGTAAATCACGAAAAAAGTAACTAAAACCACAAATTTTACTATGAGAGAGACGCTTCGTGAGGGCTTTTTTCTTTCTCTCAGCAAAAACGTCAAAGATACCACGGATGAGTACAGAGAAGTTTCTATAATGTAATGTTAAATTATTATAGGTAATCACATGATTTCGAGTGCAATTTAGAATAAATAAGCACGAGTAAATTTTTTTCAAAGACTAACAAAAACGTACGGGCCCGTAGGGTGAGTGCAATTTGTGGTCTTTGAAAAAAATTAACAAGTGCTTATTTATTCCAAATTGCACAAGAAAATAATGTGATTACATATTAATAATGTACATGAAAAAATACGAGATAGCTTATCGTAATTTAAATGCAGAGGCAAAGCGCGCGAAAATAATTTATTCAACCCTGCGAGTAACTTTGTGCGTACGATCAAAACAATAATACATAATGATATTTTCACATCTTTAAGGCGCAAAAAAGTTCAAAGTCCGGCTAAACAGTTCAAGGAATTGTTCAGTCTGTTCCCGAATCACTTTCGATGAAATGGAATCGTCCTTTCGAGGTTTAACCATGTTTGTTTTTTAATTTCGGCGTAGAATCACTCGAGTAAAGTGTTAAGCTGAGTCGGTTCGAAATTTTCGATTTCCTTGGCAATTCCCTTCTCTAAACACCACTTTTTCCAAATCAAAAAGCAGTGCTTTTTACAGTGTTTTCGTGGTTAGAGCTGTTTTTCAGCCGCTGTATTGTTGTTGCGGTGGCGTAAAAAACCTACTTGATACTTCGGCCATTGTTTCGCTCGCAAATTTTCAGCGTATCCAAACGTTGTTACATTCAAGGTTCGCACTGGATTGTTTATTTGTGAGTTTCTTTGATTATTGGCCGATCAGAATGTCTGGTTTGTTACTTCTTTACACTGAATTAACCTTCTTCTGCACTGAATTACCTGAAAACTGTATTTATCTTAACCATTCAATCAGAACTGAGTAATTTTTTCAAATGAATGAACAATGTCAAGCGTGCGTCCATCCAATTCGGGATGCACGCGAATGGTTGGGAGAGCACGAAGGTTGCGTAAGAGATGCACGAGGTACAGCCGAGAGCATCTATGGCTACTTAATTGCCTCCTAACTATCCGCATGTATCCCGAATTAGATGGACGCACGGTAAACATTGTCCACTTTTCTGACAAAGCGAGACATTTTTCACTGTACTGATAAAATTGCAGTGACGTCAGCCTGAACCATTTATATAAACCATCCCCTTCTTTTTCACAAAATAGTAGCCAATCAGAGCGCGCGTTGGAATGTTGCCATGTTCTAATCACTAATGTATTTCTAGAAAAAAAACATCAAGACAAAACAGCTATATCGACAATGTAAATATATAACAAATTTAAGTTAAAAATAGGAACCTTCAAAACTTCAAGTTCCTGGGGAGTTGACTGCTGTGCTCTAAGTTTAGCGCACTAATGTTTCGGCCGACTGATTTTTCCCAGGTGGTTATTTTTAGACCTTAACTGATATGCATCCAGAAAATGGCTTTTGCGTTCTAGTGCAATGTTTGCGATATCGCATAACAGATATGAATTTACAGCTTCTCCCCTTTTGGATGAACAAGGAATATAACGATCAGAATATTGATTCTAAACAAGGTAGAAAGGTAACGAGCTGAGTGAGGAAAAATGCAAAGAAGCCTGTGTAAAGTTCTTTTTTTTTGTTTTTTTGTTTTGTTTTGTTTTTTGTGTAAAGTTCGCTTTTGAGAACAATATCATTACAAATGTAACGGCCCTATGGTTTTAAATTAACACCTGTCAAAATGGTAAAGCTATCAAGGAATTATTTGAACCGCAAATCTGTTCCAGAAAGACTCAAAGTATTCGAGTTCGCACAATAAAGCCGGTTCACAATAAAGATAACAATCACAATAAAGATAACAATAACACCGTACCGTTGCCGCATGTCACCCAATAATAAACATGAATTATTCATAACTGTCCGATTTTCATAGGAACATTAGGAAATGGCTTCTCATTATAAAGAAGTTTTGAATATTTTTGCAGACTTGCAACGATTACCACCAGGCACGGAAATTATAATACATTAAGGTAAAAAACTTAAAGGAAGTCTCATAATGTAAAACTCCAACTGATAATTAAGTCAAATAAATGGTAACAATTACAAAAGTGGGACTGTACGTCAATGTTAAAAGTAATTTTTTTTAAATAGCAAAAATAGTATTGATGATTAGGATTATAATAACAGTAGTTATAATAATGATGATCATAATAATAATAATAATAATAATAATAATAATAGCATAACATAATATAATAATAATAATAATAATAATAACGAGAAAAAGGTGAAAGATTCAACGATATTGATAATAGTATTGATAATAATGATTAGGGTTATATTAACAGTAGTTATAATAATGATAATAATAACAATAATAATGATGATGATAATAATAGTTAAAGTAATAATAATAATAATGAGAAAAAGGGTGAAAGATTGAACGGAGCCTTTTAAATAAGGCAGCCGTAAAACATCAGACCATATCCAGAATCATCGACACCTTGTTGAGTGAATTACACGAGTTACTATTCTCTGGAAAAAACGACCGTTAGGCTCGTCTTGTTTAGTCGTAAGACAAAATGTAGGATTACAAGCCACGAAGTCGCAATTAAAAACGTTGTGCAACAGAATAAAAAGTTTACTCGTATGATACAGATCTCTTTGACCCAGGCTCCTAAGAGGTGTTGACACCTTCCTTTCCGCGACAACTTGACGAGTAATTTCACATATGTGCCCTATGCCGCTAAACAGGGCGCTTTTATCTCTGCTGATCAAAGCATTATGCATGACTCAGCTGATAGTGCATCAAGTCAAATGATGAAAACAGTCTCGGGTTTTGTATCCCTACGAGAGCTCTTATTTTATCTTCGTTCTACGTTGGCTATTAATGCAGCATCACTTAGAACGGAAGAAAATTTCAACGACAGGAACTTTAACAGAGAGAGAGAGTTAAGTATTTCAATCGTATATGTTGGCTAGAAAGGTCCGCACACTGAAAAGGAAAATCGAATTCCGAAGCTTTTCTAAAAAACAACACGAAAAACAACAGCGACAACATTTAGTAAAAAAAAGAATGTACCAACCGGATTACTTATTAGAAACTTAGACATACTTAAACAGGTACATTGACTATGACCTCAGGCTTAAATGTTTATTTCGTTTTGTTAGACCATTCAAAGTCTATTTAATTCTATACAAATGAGAAAGAGCCTCTCATAGAAAAATAGAAACTACTGATAAAAACTATTTTAAGAATATTGTTTGTTGAGTCATTTATATACATTCACTTCCTGACCTCAAATGGATCATCACCAATTAAAATCGCACAACAACTCTAAAAAAAACCTCTCCATCATGAGAACCTACTTTTCAAAGTTCCTTAGAATTCTTGTCCAACAATCTCTGTCAGTGATGGAGTTATATGTAATAACAGCGCTCTAGAATAATAATACACGCTGATTCTACATGAATACGTTTAAATAACTTGATTCTAAATGAAATATCCCAAAGCGAACACAGTCATTTGGCGATAAAAACCACAACTTCTGCACTTAAAAATATTTTAAAATTCTAATAACTTTGCTTAAATGAATAAAAATCCCTACACGAATTTTGCTCACGTTGTAACTCCTTAAATGACGTATTCAATTACATTAACACAAAATGCAAGCATAAATACTTTAAGAATTTCAATAGTTGAAACATTGAAGTCTTACAAATTCTATTAAATCTTTCGAAAACCATTCTCACAGGACAATTGATAAAAATTTCCATATTCATTCTTAAAAGCAACTCTCAATAGCAGTATTCAAAGTCAATTTCATACAAAAATAGAAGTTTGCCTTGTTCTAAGCCCTGACAAAACTTACGGATCCTAAATGTTATTGCAATCAGAGAGCATGCGTTGCTACGAGTGACCGCTGCCTCTTTGAACCTTGACTGCGCCCTCCATTCCTAACCGCGCGAGTGCCATCTCACTCCTCAATCTCATTACTTCCCAGTATATCTCCGTTACTAATGAATAAATAATCAAAAACAAACACGACAGTTAAAGAAAGTCGCAACAACGATAAAACAATATGCAGCTTTGAATGATATCATATTTTCGCATTTTCTCGTTTTGAGACAAACTGCAAACATAACCTGTTCTTATGATGAAAGTTTCACATATAAGAAATTTTCGCGATATACCCAAGAAGGGATACATTTGACCCCCAACAGTCCGGATTTATTGGCAATGCTGCGGGTAAATCTAAGTCTGCTATCAATGATCTAACATTTCAGTGGCACTTGATTATACGCATCTCGTTTTCTTTTTTTATTTTATTTTTCCATCACTGAAGTTTCTCCTCTTCCATATAACAAACACTTGCCATTTTATTGTTTTTCCCCTATGATTTGCTGTCTTGGTTAATGTTGCTGTTGTCATTTCGTTGTCTATTACTTTCAAACGCTGAGGCAAGCCAACCAAAAGAGGTACTTAGAGGTATTTACCATTTGCTCTGAAAGCTACAGCTATTAGGTAAACTATATTCACACCTACCGTCTGCCTTCACAAGTCCTTGCTGGATGTAACGCACATAAGTGTAAAAATCGCACACCGCTACAATCTAACACGAGAAGAATATAAGTTAGGAGACGTAAATGGTCTTGAATCAATAAACGGCTGGTAAAGTATTGAAGCCGTTCAAGGCTATGATAAACGCTTTTAAATTATCAATAAGGGCCCGCGATCAAGCTGACTTTCCTAAGGACGTCGCCAAAAGTTAGGTGTTACCACATATGCCACTTAAGGCTGGTGGAGAGGAAAGAGAAAATAACCACAGAACACACTTGGACAGTTAAAAAAAACTCAAAATATAGAGAGCACAAACTTCAGATTCCTTAAAGTCCATGACTGCAGACTTGGATAAACATGTGAAACATTTAGACCACTCTTAGCCTCATTCCAGTGAGCCTACATACAATTTACACGCACTGTAATTTGTTATTTTCAGTTTCCCCATGAAAATTTATACCTTCACTAAAACTGCTTTTGCATTCACACGATTACCACTCACCCTGACTCTACTGTTGCGACTGAGGTTATACCAGTCACCTTTTTCTGATAACTTCACACGGTGAAGACAAAATCGAGACGTTCCTGTGAGCGCACACTTCCTACAGAACAAAGAAAAGGTGGAGTAGATTTGAGGAAAAGTCTAGAGTAAGTCATTTGAGATATATGAAGAAAGGGGGTAAGTTTCTCACGAAACTATGGTGCTGCGTCGGTAGGAGAGTATAACAAGATAATTTGGTCTTATCAACTGTGCTGATAATGTAAATTGGCCACCGTTAAGAGTTCCTATGCCCTTCGTCATTCGCTCTGATGCTATCAGAAGATAATCCAAAAAAACCAAGTTTATTTATCAGCTATAGAGTAAGATGAAAGTAATATACCTTCACGTTGCATTAACCCTTTACACCCTTACATAAATATCAGTAGTCATATTCTCCAAACCGTTCTCTATACATTTCCTAGGTTGCTAACAAGGAGAATTTGTTTAATACAATTAGGAACTTCTTTAGTAGTTGATCATTTCCTTTATTCTTGTGACCACGATATTTGATGTGGGATGATATTATAGTGAGAAATTACATGCTAGTCACGCTTAGGGGTTGAAGGGTTAAGTCACACAATCATTGAGTAAAATTGATCTCATACAAAGGTTAGCATTAGAAATGATGTGTTCCAACATTGTCCTGAATTCCGGGTGCACAATAAAATATTGAAATATTTGTACGAAAAAGGACAAAGGAAAGGACACAAAACATGAACTTAAAATGACATACTGCAATCACACATACCTGAACACTGGTTTGCCACCAAATGTCTCCATCATTAAAGTGTTGTTTTCAATTGCACTATGTACAGCTAATGCGAGCTAAAATACAGAAACAATAAAATGTGATCAGGTCACAATTTCTGCCATGCACTGACAACAGGTTATTAACCCAAGAAACACACCTTACACAACCTGTTTATATTGATGGAGCTGTGATTCTTCAAAGAGGACACAGCAGGGATTAAGA